CCCTTACCACTAAAAACAGAATTAAAAACCTCTTTAATCAAATTTTCGACAGCCACATACCTCAAGCCCACAAAATAAGCTTAATCATACCAATACTTAAACCAAAAACCGACAAAACAAACTTCTCCTCGTACAGACCCATTTCCCTCAATTGCTGTTTAGCAAAAACACTGGACAAAATCATAGCGAAAAGACTTTGGTGGTTTGTGACCCACAACAAACTTTTAAATACAAACCAATTCGGCTTCAAAAAAGGCAAATCGACTTCGGATAGTCTCCTATACGTAGACCATCTCATAACGAAGTCGAAACGGCACACCTCCCTCGTCACTCTTGACTTTTCAAGAGCCTTTGATCGAGTAGGTGTGCACACTATAATTGATCAACTCCAGGAATGGAAAACAGGCCCTAAAATAATCAATTATGTCAAAAATTTTATGCTCAAACGTAAAATAATAGTCAGAGTCGGTCCGCACTTGTCAAATTCACTCCCATTATCCAACGGTATCCCACAAGGATCACCTATATCGGTAATCCTATTTCTCATCGCATACAATAAACTCTCAAACGTAATATCTCTACACAAAGAAATTAAATAAAGAAATTAAAGAAACGCTTACGCCGACGATTTTTTCCTTATTATAAACTTCAGAAACAACAAACACCTTAATTTTAACCTAGACAACCTTTTACATGATATAAGCAACTGGTGCTCATATTCAGGGGCATCTCTATCCATAGCTAAATGCCAACACCTCCATATATGCCAAAAACACAATTGCACTAGCACCATAAGCTGTAGCAATACACCAATAAAACAAGTAACAGCACTCAAAATCTTAGGGATAACCATAAATAGTAATTACAAATAGGAAACACACATAAAATCACTTCTTCCATCACTACACCAAAAATTGAATATCATAAAAAGCCTTTCCAACCTCAAATTCAATTGCAACACTCAAACACTACTCCACGTCGCGAAAGCAACAGTCATAGCAAAAATCGAATATGGCCTGTTTCTATACGGACAGGCTCCGAAAAGCGTGCTTAACAAATTAAAAACCCCCTTTAAATAAAACCACACTCATAAATAACTTGCTATACGAAGCCATCATCCTCCCATTAGAGCAAAAACGTGACCTTCAAACAGCCAAACTCACAAAAAATCTTATATTTTCCAAAGATACACCAATACACAAACTTGTCAAACAAAGTAAATCAAAAAAGAATACATCAACCATAGACCGCACAATAAACCTCAGCCAAGCACTAAACCTACCCTACGAACCAGTTAAACGACACAAATACCAGCCACCTTGAGATCTCCCAAACCTCATAGACACAATATTTAGAGCAAACAAGAAACAAACCACAACACTAGACACATAACTATACGAACATACCACACAACTATACGAACATACCAAAGACAGCCATAAAACACACAAATTCATATTCACGGATGGATCAAAAATGAACTCCACTATATCATATGCTATCACAATAGATACTTATATTATTAAATATGGTATCCTACCCCCCGAAATAATAGCCATATTAGTAGCGATCGACCAAGTCAAAAGCACAAGGGGAAAGTTCATGATCTGCTCTGACGCTCTCTCAGCAATTAACGCCATAAGAAACACAAATAACAGCAATTTTTACCCCAACAAAATTAGATCACTCCTTACAAAACTAGAATATTAAAAAAAAATATTAAAATATTGTGGATCCTTGGTCATGTAAGCATAGCAGGCAACGAGCTAGCCGACCAAACAGCAAAATCGACATGCAGCATGCCCCTTATTTACACCCCAAACATAAATTTTACAGACATAAACAGACCCTTAAAACTAGAATTCCGAACAAGAAATAAACTAAACATAGAACACTGCAATCAATGGTATAAAAACATTAACAAAGACAATTCAAACATCGACAATTATTGCAGATCCTTTCATCCCAAATCGAGCAGACTCGATAAAATTAAAATAATACGCCTTAGACTAGGCCACACAAAACTTACACACGAGCACTATTTCAATCAAAACCAAACCTCACCCTGCCCCTTCTGCCAAGGCGACAATACCTTACCCCACCTATTAAATTCATGCCCATCACTCCTTCCTACTAAACTATCTATCTTCAAAAATACAAACCCATTAAGTCTCCTTAACGAACTCAACACTGATAATTTAGAAAAAATCTTAATTTTCTTAAAAACTTCAAACCTATACCACAAAATTTAATAATACCCAAAATGTACATAAACAAAATTTACCAACTAAGTAGCCTAAATACAACGAACAATATGTAGTTAAAATAATAGACTTAAATAGCATTAACCTTAAAAGCCGAAGGCCTCGCTGCCAGCGCTTTACCAACTAAGTTAGTCTAGTTTTGCAAACTCCTCTATCTTTAATAATAAATAAATAAATAAATAAAAACTGAAACTTAAAGCTAACAAAAATGTATTTCATAGCGGCCACGCAAATATGCGGTGTTCGCCGGTTATGCATGGGTATCTGGCCAGACACTGTGTCAGCAGTTTGGCCAGAGCGAGATCTTTAATAATCGGACGTTGCCGTTGCGCGGTTAACTTCAGTTAACTTATACGTCCCAGCCATTTATGACTTGTTGACCACGCCGAAAAAACCGTGGTGCGCTGCGTCTGCCGAAGACTGCAGGAGGCCATAACCCTCGCGGAATATCTCTCCCCATTGCAGTTCGGGTTCAGGGAGGGGAAGTAACGACATTACCATAATGAAGCAAATTGCAGCCAAGGACTTCAAAGAACCCAGGTGGAGCCGGAGGAGGCATAGAGTGCTCCCAGATCGCAACGCTTGACATGAAGTCCATACAGCTCAAGGGGATGTTACAGTGAAAGCGCTGCGCAACCTGAACATCCCCGCAACCATAGTTGTAATCATTAAATATGATCTAATGATAGCCTAATGTCCCCTCAGCGACTGCATCCTTAGGTACGACATCACTGCCGGCATTCAGGAGCACTCCTGGGTCGACCCGCAAGGCACTCTCCTAGGTCCCGGAACATCATGTACGATGGGGTGCTAAAATTAGAGCGCCCAGAATGGACGCATATCATAGGGTTTGCCGATGAAATTTCGATAGAAGTAGTAGCAAAGACTCTAGGCCGCGAAAACGACGCCATTGCAAAATTAATAGCGTGGCTCATACGAGGAGGCCTGAACCTCATGCACCTCAAAACGGAGGACATGCCGTCAGGCATATAGAAAATCGTGCAGACCAATCAAGTACCTGGTTATGATGATCGACACAAAGCGTCTATTCCGTCTACTGAAGCAAAATGGCCGAGACGCAGACATGGCTAGACGGCAAGTTCCGTGCTATGGTCCACTTAGGGACGATGGATACAAAGAATGGTCCCTAATTTGTGGACTGGATGCAGAGGAAGCATAGAGAAGAAAATTTTTGGTCGTAATCAATAATTGCGACGGATCTACGACAAAGGCAACAGGTAATAGCCCGGAAAGCTTAGAAGAATAATTCTTATTACATATGTATTTTGAAATAAACTTAATAAGAAAAATATGAAAGGAAAGCTAACTTCGGGCGAAGCTGAAGTTGATATACCCTTGCAGTTAAAACCGGATATATATCGAAGACATCGGATATAGTTGGCCGATCCTTATGGAAATATTATTAAATAACCAATTTATTACAATACAAAATCTAAAAAAAAAGCCGCATGCTTCTTCTATCTTCAAAAATACTAAAGTTGATATTTTTAAAAAATAAGAAATACCATTAATTATAGTACGTTATATTTTATTTATGCTGCAGGCAGATGAAACTGGGATCAACCATTGTGATCATCCAATTTATGGTGCTAAGCAGTGACTAATAATATGGACAGAGAGTGCGGCTCGACTAGACATACGCGAAGCTAAAGCTCTCGATAGTGAAGAGGGCGGCCCGACATAGTGATTGCGAAGCTAAAGCTCTCTTAAAATAGGGCCGTTAAAGTCGAGCGGCCGAGAAAGAGTCGGCTTGCGACCAACTAAGGCGATATATCCATACTTTAGCTTAATAAATAAACTATAACTAAATTATTACACTAAACATTACATAAACATTATTTAAACATAAACATTAAACGCCGTGCTGCTGTTTGACCCGCATAAATATATTTTTTCGCGGCGAATACGATCTGTCCCACTGTGCGCTCAGAACCGCAAGCAGCGATGTGGAACTCATATATGTATGAAGGCGTTATGCGCGGGCCATTGCACTTGCAAGTGGATCGTATGTATATATGTTTTTAAATGTTATTTCGCGGGTCAATAGTTTTTTAAATTGTTAATTATATTAAGTAAAATCACGTCGGGAAATGAAAAACGAATTTAATTATAGTACGTTATATTTTATTTATGCTGCAGGCAGATGAAACTGCCGGCCGAAACGGCCGATCTCGGCCGTTCCGACTTACATATGTACTGCGTGCAAAGGAATGAAAGGAATGTGCCTAGTATCAAGTCGATAGCTTTAAAACTGAGAGACTAGTTTGCATAGAAAGGGACAGACGGACAGACGGACGTCTGACTGTCCGTCTGCCTGACCGTCTGTCCCTTTCTATGCAAACTAGTCTCTCAGTTTCTCAGTCGGACAGACAGACGGACATGCTCATTTCAACTCAGAAGGTGAGCCCGATCAAGAATATATATATATACTTTATAGGGTCGGAGATTTCTCCTTCACTGCGTTGCACACTTTTGGACAAAATTATAATACCCTCTGCAAGGGTATAATGCGTTACATTCGCATGTTACGATCTTGCTCGTTGACGTTCTGACTTTCGTAACTAGTATTTTACCTTGTCAAAAGGTTTTTTGTTTGATATCTTATATATTTTATATCGGTATATGTCAGTCATATAACCATCAAATAAACTTCGGTTCCCCCCTAAGTTATCTTTCGTTTCATGATTAAATTGAAATTAAATTTATGTATTTTACCTTTATTTCAGGCTCATCAAAGCAGGGAAGTAATCGTCGCGCGTTGTTTGGTTTTAAATTTGTAGCCAAAAAAGATTCTTGTGCAAGACTTGACGAATTTTTGTAAAAACCTACGAAAACGCCTTGAGCTGTTTTTAAGATTTTTCCTTTAAATGGAATTTCGATTATTCCCTCGGATCCTTTTCCAACTACTTCTTTAAGGTGCACAACATATATTGTTTTCTTTGGAAGCCGGATACATCTTAAAACTGGAATATTTTTTAACGAAAGGCTGTGTAAAATTTAAATAAGAAACTAGTTATTGTGGTTGAATAGATAAAATCACTTCGATACATAACGCTAATTATAGTAGTCTACCCCATTCAAAATAATCTGTATTAACATTTAAATTCAAAGATATTAAATATCATTTTATTAGATATAAGATATTATATATGATATTAGATACTATTCCCCGTTATTTGGTTATTGCTATCTTCAAAAATACCAAAGTTGGTATTTCTACCAAATACCATTTCCGATCGTACAGTTATATGGCAGTTTTAGGATATGGTCGGCCGATCTTTTTGAAATTTAGTAGGTCGGATCAACTAACCAAAAATAGAATCTGTACAAAGTTTTAACTTTCCATCTTCAAAAACACGAAAGTTGGGTCATTTCCGATCGTCATTTCCGATGGCAGCTATAGGAAATAGTCGGCCGATCCTTATGAAATTTGGCATGTCGTATTATTTTACCACTCCAAAATTACCACTCATCCGAAATCCGAACTATCTAACTCAAAAAACAACAAAGTTACAGCATTTCCGATCAATCAGTTATATTGCAGCTATAGGATATAGTCGGCCGATCTCGGCCGTTCCGACTTATTTAATGCGTGCAAAGGAAAGAAGGGTGTTTGCAAAGTTTCAAGTCGATGTTTCAAGTTCAACTGAGAGACTAATTTGCGTAGAAATAGACGGGCGGACGGACATGCTTATTTCAACTCAGGAGGTGATTCTGATCAAGAATATATATATTTTATAGGCTCGTAGATGTCTTTTTCACTACGTTCCACACTTTTTACCAAAGTTTTAATACCCTCTGCAAGGATACAAATTGAAAAGGTAACTCGAGTGGAACGGATCTGATACTTTTGCAGAAAAAAAGGTTATATATCGAAAGCACCTGATATTCATAACAACACCAATTTTTATACCCTTGCAGAGAGTATTATAATTTTGTCCAAAAGTGTGCAACGCAGTGAAGGATACATCTCCGACCCTATAAAGTATATATATTCTTGATCAGAATCACCTCCTGAGGTGATATGAGCATGTACGTCTGTCCGTCTGTCTGTTTCTACGCAAACTAGTCTCTCAGTTTTAAAGCTATCGATTATTGAAACTTTGCACACACCCTTCTTTCCTTTGCACGCAGTATATAAGTCGGAACGACCGGGATCGGCCGACTATATCCTATAGCTGCCATATAACTGATTGATCGGAAATGGTATAACTTTGACGTTTTTAAAGTTAGAGAGTTCAAATTCGACAAGAGAGCATTTTTTGGCAAAACATTACGACATGCCAAATTTCATAAGGATCGGCCGACTATATCCTATAGCTGCCATATAACTGAACGATCGGAAATGACCCAACTTTCGTGTTTTTGAAGATAGAAAGGTGGAATTTAGTACAGATTCTATTTTTGGTTAGTTGATCCAACCTACCAAATTTCATTAGGATCGGCCGACTATATCCTATAGCTGCCATATAACTGAACGATCGGAAATGACCCAACTTTCGTGTTTTTGAAGACAGAAGTTTGGGACATTTTTAGGTTTTGTATTATAATAAATTGGGTTATATTATCATATTCTTATAAGGATCGGCCAACTATATCCAATGTTTGCGATATATATCCGGTTTTAACTGCAAGGGTATATAAACTTCGGCTCCGCCCGAAGTTAGCTTTCCTTTCTTGTTATACCCTTGCAGAGGGTATTATAATTTTGTCCAAAAGTGTGCAACGCAGTGAAGGAGACATCTCCGACCCTATAAAGTATATATATTCTTGATCAGGATCACCTCCTGAGTTGATATGAGCATGTCCGTCTGTCCGTCTGTCCGTCTGTCCGTCTGTCTGTCTGTCTGTTTCTACGCGAACTAGTCTCTCAGTTTTAAAGCTATCGTCTTGAAACTTTGCACACACCCTTCTTTCCTTTGCACGCATTAAATAAGTTGGAACGGCCGAGATCGGCCGACTATATCCTATAGCTGCAATATAACTGATTGATCGGAAATGCTGTAACTTTGTTGTTTTTTGAGTCCTTTCCTTTCCTTTGCACGCAGTATATAAGTTGGAACGACAGGGATCGGCCGACTATATACTATAGCTGCCATATAACTGATTGATCGGAAATGGTATAACTTTGGTGTTTTTAGAGTTAGAGAGTTGAATTTGAATTTGAATTTGACATGAGAGCTATTTTTGGCAAAACATTACGACATGCCAAATGTCATAAGGATCGGCCGACTATATCCTATAGCTGCCATATAACTGAACGATCGGAAATGACCCAACTTTCGTGTTTATGAAGATAGAAAGCTGAAACTTAGTATAGATTCTATTTTTGGTCAGATGATCCAACCTACCAAATTTTATAACTGATCGACTGATATCTTATAGCTGCCATATAACTGAACGATCGGAAATGGTTTTTGGTAGAAATACCAACTTTGGTATTTTTGAAGAGTTTGGGACATTTTTTAGATTTTATATTATAATAAATTTGGTTATAGTATCATATTCTCATAAGGATTGGTAAACTATATCCGATTTTTGCGATGTATATCCGGTTTTAACTGCAAGGGTATATCAACTTCCGCTTCGCCCGAAGTTAGCTTTCCTTTCTTGTTTAGAATACAAAATATAAAAAAAGTCCCTATCTTCCCTAAAGAATAGAAGTTTTAAATCGAAAGCTTTCAAAGGGCAGGCGTAGACTGAATAAATGTTAAGTATGCTCGATAAATAAAATGTAAAGTTTTGGTGGGTTTTTAGTGGCGAAACGTATGAAATTTAAATGGCATAAGAAAAAGTTCTTTTAATCAGTCTGCCAAATTTTTATACCCGGTACTTGTAGAGGGTATATTGTACAAGGGGGCAAAGGTACGAAGATCCCTTTGAGGAACATTAAAATTAATGAGTCCCATAAAAAAAGGGCAAACAATGTTATCAGCTATTATATTGTTCAAAAAAGTTAAAGCTGCCAGTGTACGCCGATTCTCCACCGTGCAAGCATTAAGAAGAAGGCAGCGGCTCCGGTATGAAGGTAGAGGATCCTGAAACCTTAGAGGCAGAAGGGCAAATTTTAAAAAAATTTTCTGGAGTCGCTAAATTTTGTTGGAACGAACTTCTGTTGTGTGGACTTTTTAACTGGTTCACGTGCCTCTTCCCTTCTATTATTTAAGTTTTTTTAACCTTTTGTATAAAAGGGAAGCCTATAGGATCTTCGTACCCCCACAGGAGCATATATTTCAAAAATATTAGAAAGGGCAACCAAGCACTTAGTATAACAATCATCGATTGAGAAATCCAAAAAAAAGGAAACCCAATCAAAGGCTGAAATAGATTGATAAGTGACAGGTTAGTATCATTCACATGATAATATAGAATGGGTGAAGCAGACGGCAAAAAACTGTAAAACTCAATATGAATTACTAACGGCAAAGATTATAAAGTACATAGATGGGACATCTCATACAAAGAAAAATTTTCTTTGGAGGGTTCCAGCAGTGGAACCCGCTGGAACGAGCGGGTTCCATTGCGCGACAAGTTAAGTTTGAGAAATTTTTCGCATGACAACGAACGAGGAATAGCCGAGTGGTAGAGTGCTTGGCTGGTGTGCAAAGTAAAACGAGTTCAAACCAAGCTCGGGAAGTCCATTTTTTTAATTTTAAATCTATTTATATTATTGTTTTATTATTTTAATATGTTTTCCTAAATTTATAATCCAATAAAAAAAAATACAAAATTGAAAAATAACCTTAACATCGTCTCAGTTCGTAGTGGAACCCGCTGTAAAAATGTCAATAAGTGCGGGTTCTACGGCATTTTGGTAGGCCGCGTCATGGAACCCGCTCTCAAATGTTTTCATTTTTTCCGTCGTGGAACCCGCTGTAATAATGAAAACATTTGAGAGCGGGTTCCACGACAAACAACTGGCAGATGAGAGCGGGAAAGAGAGAATTCTATTTTTAGATCGTAACATCTTTGGAACGATGAAAGTTTGAAACGTTGTAATCGAACCAATGTAAGAGTAAAGAGATCAGAAATATCTTTTACTATCCTTACTCGTCAACTCTGTTTTGGTATATATTCTAGCGCCTCCTTTAACACCAATTTTAAGTATCATAAAATCGACTTCGAGGGTAGCTTAGATGGATAGTGCGCGGTCCTTATTCATGGGGCTGGGTTCGATTTCATTAGCTGGCGGTTGTTTCAATTTTGATAAAGTTTTAGTTTTATGATTCTTTTTATATTTACTTTTATTACGAGGATTTGAACACAGAAAAATTGCACATAGAGTAACTACAGAAACGAGAAATTGAAATGGAAATTTGGAAGCCAAAACATTTTTACTCCGTCGTGCGAGCAGTCACACATACATGCATAGGTTCACATTTTTGTTGACGGGTACATGTAAAGAGTTCTAAAAATAAAATCGTATGCATGTGCGTTTCCCCCCTCACCAACAAGCTCGACGCAAAAAGTTGACCGTTTTGGGCCCTGATATCCCATCTATGTACTTTATAATCTTTGCTAACGGCTTGTGGAGTACATAGTCTGTCTGTAGTCTGTGCACATAGTCTGTGGTCACATAGACTTAATGGTACATTGCATAATTCTACTTAACTATAAAGCACGGTATTTAAAATATAAGATCAAGAATTTTGGATAAATCATTAAAAATATTATTTACTTAGGAGAGGCCCAGACTAGAAATATCATCTAGAGCTATAATTTCATGACTTTGGTGAACGTTGCTAGGTAGCATGCAGGGAGACTCCGGGTCCCGCGACCAGACA